CTCACAGAAGACAAGAACGGAGGTCTCCTCATCTAGCCAGTAACATCTTTTTGGTGCCGTGACAAACCATGTATCTACATCACCACCTCTGTGTCAAATGACACTTCTGGAATTCCAGCCCATCCCTACTTTAGAAGAAACAACCAACAGTCACTCTATTACAGTCTCAGATCCCATCCGCCTGTCTCCCTTAGATCAGACATGAGGAGAAACTTCCCTACCCTAACATATACCATTATCAGCAGTAAGCAATTACTGAAAACAGACCATCCTCCCTCGTCAACCCTAAAAGATTTTAGGGGTGGAAGTCTCTGAGGGAGAAATGTTATAGAATAGTAAGAGGCTAGGAAAATTCCAAGACAAGTGGAATCGGGAAACTGAGACGGATAAACACCTAGTACATCCTATCTTCCTTAAACCAAGGACACTTAAGAGTTAATGGTTTGCCCAACTGGTGCAGCTCAGGCTGGGATTCCATTCCCCCTCTTCTTCTCACCCCTCCCCCCACCCCCACTCCCATATCCTCTAACCTCTAAGGGACCCCATGAGATTTGCAACCAGGGGAGCAATGGGCAGCAGCAGCTTGTCCTGGACTAACCCCCTCTATCTGTCTCCAAGGCCACTTTTCCCCCCTTTCCTCTGACTTCCCAGTGAGCCAGGCGGCCCTGCCTAAGGCTCTCCTGCTGCTACTTGCATGCCCTTCTTTGTTTCACTGTCCTAATATATTTTTGCTGTGGTCAATAAATTCTTGCATGCTTAAAAAAAAATAAAAATAAAAAAAGAGAGAAGTTAGTATAGAATAAACTGATCAACGTTAAGGTAGAGGTGAGCACATGGCTTGGGGCAGGCCATCATGGAATGATTCCTGGAGGAAGTGATCTGTGGGCATTTACAAGCATCTCCTTCTTTATTCTCAGTTCAAAATAAACTTAAAAGACTCAACTCCACTTCTTAAAAGGTTATAAGATTTACTTGCTCACAGTCAAGTTAAAAATCTAATTTAATAGCAGAATTTATTCTTGGCCATGGCCAGGTAGCTCAGTTGGTGAGGGCGTGGTCCAGATATCCACAGTTGTGTGTTTGATTGCCAGTTGGGCATATACAAGAATCAACCAATGAATACATAAATAAGTAAAGCAACAAATCGCTGTTTCTCTCGCTAAAATCAATCAACCAAATATTTAAAAACATTTAGAAAAGAATTTATTCTTGACTCCCCACCATGGATTTCAACCCTTAACTCACACTCCCTTAACACAAATTATAGAGAGTTAACAAATTCTGTCCTATATACTACCTTCTCACAAGTCTGTAGAACAGGATTAAAGATATGCACAATGAAATAAAATGTACCTTAAAAAATACGATCATTGCCCTAGCTGGTTTGGCTCAGTGGATAGAGTGCCAGCCGGTGGACCACAGGGTCCTGGTTCCATCCAGTCAAGGGCACGGACCTGGACGGCAGGCTCCTCCCCTGGTCCAGGCCCTGGTCTGGGCATGTGAAGGAGGCAACCAATCCATGTGTTTCTCTCACATCCTTATTTCTTTCTGTCTTTCCTTCTCTCTTCCACTCGCTTTAAAATCAATCGGAAAATATCCTGGATTAACAACAAAAAAACTGTAAACAACAAAAGTATCATACTTAAAAAACAAACAAACAAACAAAAAAACAGGCTCCTTTTCCTAAATGGAAATGAACACTGAACAATCCAAACCCTACAAAGCATAGCTGTCGGAAGAGGAAACTGAGGTTCAAAAAGTCCCACTTTAATACAACAGAATAAAAGGTCTCTTTGAAGCCACCAGAACAGCTTGAACAAAAAGAGAAACAGAAGGCTATTGTGGGGCCCGAGCCTCCAGATGATGAACCCCAAACACACTGCAGTGGTAAACAAACAAGCCTGCGAGCCGGAATCTGATTTGGTGACCAAACAAAACACTACAACTTAAGGAATCCCTCTCTTCCCATTCATTATTTCCCCAAAGTCCCACCGGCTGGCAGCTCCTGTTTCCTTTTCTGGTTCTGGGGTTCATTACTTGTAAATTATAATGGATGGTGTGCTTTTCCAAAAAAGGTACCGGCAAATGAAAACCACCATGGGTTTAAAGCCACATAAAAGACAGCATGTGTAACAGAAAGGAACTCTGCCTGTGTTTACTACGAGGACCTATTACCCCTTTATGCGACTCCAGTGGATTTTAAACTCCAATGAACGCTGCCACTGCCCACTAAATAGCAGGTTAGCGCCGGGAAGGAGCACATGCAAACACCTGCCTCAGCAGGACCCCAGGCTGCTCCGCGGTCTCCCCGAGCCCAGCCGGGCCAAGGCCCAGCACCTGACCGGGACCGGGCTGCACGCCCCGCGGGCCCAGCGAGCGGGCTCCGGAGCCCTGTTTGCATGTGGCCCGGCACCCTCATCCCACCACTCAGACCCCGGCGGGAAGC